TGACAGTATGCTGAATATGCTAATATAAAGAGGAATCGCATACATTTCTATTTTTCTGTATCTTTATCACTTCAAGTAAAATTAGGATTTTATTTATGTATGATTCATGCATGAGGGTGATTCATCAAAAATTAACTTTCATAAAGGTACCAGCCATCACTGTTGAAGAGTGGTGGCGTAATATCATCAACTTAACTCACATTAATTTAAAAGACCTCCCCCAAATGCACACTGAATATCTGTAAAACATTTTCTAATGTTACATTGACTTTCCTTGAAACAAAAAATTTTAAGTTTTTGAAAAGTTGTTATGGAACATGACAGTGTCCCAGTGTCTTTGTTCTTGTACCTGTACCACAAAGTCTTCATGCTGGTCACTAACACATCTGCACACAATCCTCCGCCCTTCTCTTGTGGTGATGATGGAGATGCTTTCCCTTATCGTGCTTCTATAATTTACCCCTCCCCTCTTCATACACATACACTTTTGCTACCTTGCCCTTTTTTTTTTTGCCTTCCTTTCATGTCTCAATTTATCTTCCTCTTGCATGCCCAGCGAAATCTCTCATACGTGCACACATAGATCCTTTCTTTTCCCTCCTTGTCTCCGTTCTCCTGTTCCCCTCTTCCGTGTCTGTGGTTGCAGGAAATCGTGTTTCTGTCATGAGCATTATCCAGATACCTTCTGGATGTACTTGTGAAGACGCTGGGGGCAGTCATAGTGATGTATGGCTGTAATCCCACCGCTGCTGCATGACACGGCTGTCAGTTGCCACGGGAGACGAGATGATTTATATTCTGCAGCTCTGTTTATGGCCTGATATAAGTGATGTTAATGTTAAAAGCCCAATCCTGCATTCTTATGCAATGATTTAAGGGTCCTTCCACTGATTTGAACAAATGAAGATGGACACTTTTAATGGCTTGTGTTTCACAATTTAATGTTAAAAACAGTTTGTAATGAGAAAATAATTTAATGTTTCCAAAAGAGAAGGGAGGGAGATTATTTATTCACTCCAAGTCACTAAGAATCTGTGCTCTATCACTCTATAATTAATGTGTTAAAAAAAAGAACCCGATTGGTCTTTTAACACTAACCTGTCTTTGGTATTTCCCACTGTGGTGCCTCATCCTGTGGTGTCCCGTTGCAGTTTCATTTACATGTCCATATGTTGTGCTTTATCTGCCACTGACTATTTGTTGCCGTGGATAAGGCGACAGCTCATTGGTCAATGGAGCAAGATGCATGCATAACGTTTGACAGGCCGTGGAGCGCATCAAAATAATGAACCTTCGTACAGGGGTGACTTCTTCAGGCCGAGGAGATGGGAATTATTGATTTCAGCGGGGGATAGGATTGGTAAATGAAACAAAATCAATATAGATAATATACTGGGCTTTAAAGGAACACCGTGTTAAAGCAACATGAAGGAATACGTATGGCAGTATTACCTTTTGCTTCACTAAAGTGGTGTGAGTTTTTCTAGTGGTGTGAAATGGAAGACAGGGATCTGCAGTGATCGAACTGGGGATTGAATGTTGGGGTTTGATGGCATTTTATGAAATCTGAATCAAATATCTCACTGGTTCTCAAACTATGGTACGTGTACCACTGACATTATGTGAGCTGCCTTCAGTGCAACATGGAGAAATCTCTGAAAAATGTCTTGAAATGAAATGAATTAATAAAAAAACATGTTATCAAATTGCTAAGAATGTTTGAATATGAATACTGAATAAAATAAGTTTTGCATTTCCTGTATTATTTTACAGGAAATATTTTTCAACATCAGGCTGCTACATAGTCATGTTCATGCACGTAGAGCATGCATACATCCATCATTAGTCACAAGCTAAAATGTGATGGCAAGATAGTAAGAGGTAAAATGAATAATTCACTGCAAGCATGGCTCCAAACATGAACTACTGGGAATAGAATAGAAGTGTGGACCAGGAGGACCCCTTTTCCACCAAATCCGCTCTGGTTCTTGACAGATTCAGCAACAATTACAATAAATAATTTTCTTATTGGGAATAAAACTGCTTCCTGTATGAACTGTCCATTGCTGCACACTGCTGTTGGTCACAATGGTGGAAGAGCTATATATTCTGAGGTGTTATGCGGTATAAAAAGTTTGCAAAACACTGGAATATCAAAATCTAAAAGCTTTCCCAATCCCTTGTCAAATTAATTTGGGTTCAGTTTTTATTAACTAAAGTTAAAAGTAAATAAAACTCTGGACGCAAGATCTGGATGTCTTCCCAACTACACCGTTGTGTGGCAGCCTAATTATTGTCCACAATCAGAGTGAAATAAGATGTGTATCCGGCATATAATAACAGGTTTACCCTGGTTATTTTCCACACCTTATTTAGCATGCAGCTGGCAAGTCTAGCATGGCTATTCTAGTGGATGGCAATGTGGGTCAGACTGTCTGTCAGTCATCAGTTTGGTTCGGACTGAAATATCTCAACAACTATTGGATTAATTGGCATGAAATCTTGCACAGGTCAAAGTTTTTTACTTACCCAATGAATCAGATGATAGCTGACATGCGGTTTCAGGCTATTTATGCCATTTTTGAATGGATAGAGACAGCTAAAGGTAGACAGGAAAGGGGGAGAGAGAGAAGGGGATGACATGCAGCAAAGGGCCACAGGCTAGAATAACCCAGGCCGCTGCGGCAAGGACTCAGCCTGGGTACATGGGGCACTAGCTCTACCGGGTGAGCTACTGGATGCCCCAATAACAATTACTCCCTGAGGGAAAATCGAAGCTGGAGATGGACAGCATTTGTTGGAGGAATTGCCATGAAATTTGGTAAACACATTCATGTTCTCCTCAGAATGACTTGTAATCGTCTTGGTGATCCCCTATTTTTTAAACCAGTGACACCATCAAGTCCACATTTTGTCCAAGACTTTGGTTAATGGCCAAATATGTGCAAAACTAAAGGCATTCCCATTAGCTGTACCTTGTGTTGTGTTGCCAATAAGCACATTCATACTGCATGCTAAACTAACACAGTGAACATTTTACAGAACCTACATAACATATAAAGTCAGCTTGCCAGATCACCGCTGTGCCTAACCACAGCTTCAGAGATCCCCTAGCATGACTATAGATTCATAGTCTTGCTAATACTGGAGGTCTCAATTCAGATCTATTAACTTGATGAAGTCATATTACTGATGATATGCATTAACAACGTAAGTGGGAGCATCTGACAGGTTAAATGCTATTATGCACCCAAACGACTTAAAGGTCAAGTGTTTATCATTCAGGAGGATCTATTGGCTGAAATGGAATATAATATTGATTAAAATGAGACGTTTTTTAATGCCAGAGCAGGTCTGCAATGTTTCTACAGTAGCCCAGAAGGGACAAACTAAACACTGGGTCTAGTTTGGGCCTTTCACCAACTTCACGCTTGGAAAGGGAGGAAGAGGTGAGGGGGTATTCAGTTGGTTGCAATCTGCAGTCTCACTGCTAGATGCCACTAAATCCTACACACTAAAGCCTAATCACTTTGGTAGTCTTGTTAAACTACTAAACCACGTCATCCACTCACGATCATGGATAGAATGTCATCCGTGCCGCTCTGACAATAAGACCATGAGCCATTAATGTTAATTAGCTTCAGATGATAGAATCTGCTGCTGGCAATGTTTGTCATTTTAACTGACTAAATTGGAGGTCAGTGCTGACTAAAAAAGCTGTTTCGCACATTGCTAATATAAAGCAAGGAGAACCAAGAGGTTTGATAAGAGATTGGTTGGTCTTAGAGCTTTGTAATTCATCCAGAACGAGGTTATTCTAGTTGACTGGCAATTTTGATAATTAGACATCATTTTTAAAGCAAAAATAACAAACATTCACTAATTCCAGTCTTAAGAATTTGCGGTTTTATTTGTAGATAGAATATATCTGGTATTTGGACTGTTCAGACAAAACAAGCAATTTCACTTTGGGCTCCTTGAAATTGTGACGGACATTTTTCCATCAAACAGCACATTGCACTTGAACATATAAGCTATGAAAACAATAATTAGATGCCACCATTTTGACTTTTTGCTGAAGCAGCTTTCTTTCTCTGGACAGATAAATAAATATTACACTATTGAAGTCTCACAGCTTTCTCTGTTTTTGATCACTCCGTGATCTCTGTGATTCATGCAGATATTGTGCTAATTAATGTAAAAATGAATGAATGCAGAGTCTGGAAAATCACTGAAATTTAGATGAGGCACTAAGGGTCATGAATACATTTCTTTTCATTGTTTTTTTAGACATGATAAACAGCAATGAGGTGTCAAAACTTCTCAGATTCTGACTAAGCCCCATTTTCATATTGTTCTGTTCAGTTCTGGCCATCTCCTATATGAGATCATTTTCAGCACCTTGCAGGAGGTTTGTGCTCGTTCAATGAGAGAACATTCAATGAGAGAACAAAATGACGAAAATTGTTTTTCGGTTTGACACAAACACGGACAATTTGGCGGTCTCTGGAGTATACCATTGATGTTAAAATATATAAAAAGATGAAATGTGCTGTATATTCAAGTGAGATGTTGGTCTTCACGATCATCAAACATTGAAGACTTCAGCCTGCCTTCCACTATATCACTATTTCTGAATAGACTTTATGTAAATGTTGCCATTTCCTGTGTGTTTTTTTTCTGGGGAGTGTGAGCTATAGATGGGGCTCCACTTTGATCTAACACCGGAGACTATGCCTGCTTCTCTCTCCTGTCATCTAATATAACATTAATATTCATCAAATATTCTTCCTGATTCTACAGGTAAAGTAAACAAGAATGAGATGTAGGGCCACCCTTTGATCTAGCACTGGAGACTGCAATTTCCTCCGCTGTATGAGTAAATAACACATTCGTTTTTTCTGTATCCTTTTACAGGTGTGGTTCTGAACTTCCCTGCTTTAATCTATCAGCAAGGACTGCATCCATATGATTAAATGTGTGTTTTTGTGTTATTGCAGGTATGGTGAACTACAGCGAGGTGTCTGGCTACCCCCTCGTCCAGCACTGGAGTCTGCGCTCTGTGCTCTACCACGTCAAACTCAATCAGTGGGTCCTCTCTCAAGGTAAATAGGACTGCGCTGCTGGCAATTAATTATATAGCATTTGTTATTACTGGTTGTTTATTTATGCGCGAGGAGACCGTGCTCTGTGGCACATACCCTCACGTTCGCCGTGGAGAAAAACAACATCGTCAGCTATCAATTATTTACCACATTGTAATTAATATGACACACCAAGGTTAGCGGCTCATCAGAACAGCTTGGATACTTTCTTTAATTTTCATTTCTGATCAGCTATGTGATTAGCAGGCAGATTGTCATCTTCTGATAGGCTGGCATGTATTTTTAGATTGTGCTGTAGGTACTGTGTGGACATCTCCAATCAGCTTTCAATGACAAACCTAGTTCAGCTGAAGTATAGCGTTGGGTCAGATTACTTTGAAATGTCGTAAGTTACTGAATACGCATTACATGGCGGTTTTCGTAAATAGTAAGGTTACCCATTGGATTAAAACAATATTACGTAATGTAAAGACTTCTGGTTTACTGTTTGTTGTTGAATTCTTTGAAATCAAACATTGAAAATATTACACCATATACCAAAGAAATAGATGCAGCTACAAAAAATTCCACAAATATTCTTTTTTCACTATAAACATCTCAAAACCTTTTCAGTGCAAATTAATTTAATTTAGCATATTCAGCATTTACAGTTTACAGTTGGTCAAATTATTATTTATTAATATATATAAATAATTTATATATAATTTATTTTTCTGTGTTGAAAACCGGTGCAGTTGTTAGCATGATTTGAAATCCCATAATGCATTCAGAGGCTGTGTGGGCATGTGTGTGGCACAATGGAATAACATGAGGTTTGCCCCCTATCAAGGTCTACAGAGCCCAGAGTGTTAATAGGGCCTTGGTTATCATGAAAAAAAAATGTAATAATTTCATTTCGTTTTTGAAATTGCCTTATTTTAAAGACGTAATCAAACAATGTCATTATAATCTAATATAATAATTATTCATTGTAAATGTAAGTCGGGCTGATTATGATAACTTTTTTTAAATTTATTTTTTATTTGATTACTAATCTTTTAATTCAATTCAATTTAATTTGTATAGCGCCAATTCATAACCGAAGTTACCTCCGGATACCTTTCAAATAGAGCAGGTCTACACCGATCTCCTTATAACATTTACACCTTTACAGATACCCAACAGTACCATTATTAGTTATAATCTGCACGTCTAGATATGACCCCCAGCTATACAGCAGAAATGTTGACTCCTTATGAGCCGGTTCGCTGCCTTACACTTGGTTCACACTGCCGACCTGACCTGAGCTTGTGACACTACGCCGCTGAATAACTGCGTCTGCTGAAATGCTGCAGAGCTGCTGCTACCAACCCTATCTTTCTTTACTGTGTTGCCTTTGATTAATACCATACAATAAAAGCATTGTCATCATATAAATGGATTCTGTGCACAGAAACACCAGAGGGATTTTAATTTTAAACAGATAAAGGAGGTGTTGAGTTTAAAAAATACATTTAGATTTTTTTCCATGTCTGTGACATTCTACACATCTACCGACATTGAAACTATAGTGAAAGGTGTATATGTTGTTGGTTTATTGGTGATTGTTGTCTCTGTCTATTATTTCTTCGAACTGCGTGCTCGCAGAAAAAAGACCTCGACTCAATGTAATGAAGCATCGCTGTAGCTGTAGCTCAGACGCGTGACTGAGGCGGGTGTAATCTGTTAATATGGGCGCCAAAATAAAAAGACGTTCCGCGACAGATACGTGCTGCTCAAGTAGTCAGTGTGAATGAGTCGTTAGTTCCTCAGGTGGGGCCCTTCTGGCTTGAGGCTTAAATCTAAAGGTGACTGTGCTTTCGCAATCAGGGCCTCTCGCCTTTAGAACGACCTCCCTGAGGAAATAAGGTTTGAAGAATCAGTGACTTTTTTTAAATCGATTCTTAAAACCCATTTTTATAGACTTTCCTTAATGTGATGTCGTCTTTTTACTTTATTCTATTCTATTTCATTTTACTTTTATAGCTTCTATTCTGCTCTTTTTGTTGTATTTTGGTATTCTGTATTTTTATATTTAATTAAACTAATGATCATGATGATCATTTTGCATTGTCTGGTAAAGCACTTTGTAAACTGTTTTTAAAAGCTTCTATTTAAATACAGTTATTATTATTACATAATCCCTTTTACGAGTAATTGGTTTACCCCCCAACACTGCTGAAATACTGTACATGCACTCTTGGAAAATAGATAGTAATGTGATTAATGAAAATTTGTAAAAAATTTGCCTGCAGAAAAACACACATTTCTAAATCGGTCCTTATCAGCAGCAGAAGCAGTTTTATGGTAATAAAGTTCTTGAACATATAAAGACCGTCACCACAGGGCACATTGCTGGCAATGTTGTAATGTGGCGCTAAAAGGTTCAAGTTGGGTCCATTATATCAAATTAAACCCTTGTTGAAACAGTCAATTATGCACTGATTGTGGCAGTGCTGTTCAGCTGCAGCGCTTGGAGAACCCTGAAAGGCTGTAAATGGGTGAGGGTCAAGTTCCCTTTAATCACAAATTAGCGAAATGTCACTTCAAAAGGGCACAAACTAAAAAGCTGCCCAAGAAGCACAACCAAACAAGACTGAGCTGTAAGACACAGCACCCACTATTAACTATTAACCTCATCTCCTCTGCTAATTGTGTAATAACTCATAATAACTTTTCATAACCAGTGGGCACACATAATCATGGGGTGCTTATGAAGACAGATGTGTCCAAACAGAATGGAAATAAACCAGCATAAACATGATTTTCTATCAGCTGCTGTGGATGGCACAAGGTTTCAACGGTTCACTTAAAAACTTCACCGGGGAGCATCCAAACCCAGGGCCTCATAATGGGGTGCTAAAGCAGGTTTTGCTGGAAGGAATATATATTTCCTTATGTATAATAGAAAAGCCTTGGATTATACAATGGCAGGGAGAGATGTGGGAATGTGATGATTGAAGACTGACGGGGAATGCCATCGCCTGTGTCCAATTTATGTTGACAGAGCATTGTCCTGTAGATCTGTGTATATTTTTTACAAATAGGCATTTTATTTAATTGATTTCAGCATCTTATACAGTCGCAGTACAGTTTCACTACAGTGCCACAAAACTATTTTTTCTCCATGCAGTTTCCAACTGCCTTCTTATACTTCCAGAAATAAAGACATGACAATAAAGGTACAGGATTTCCCCAATTTCTAAATTTGGGGTTTTGGAGGTCCAGTGTGGAACATTTAAGAGGATCTATTAGCAAAAATGGAATATAACATTTACAGCTATGTTTTCATTAGTGTATAGTCACCTGAAAATAAGAACCGTTATGTTTTTCTTTACCTTAGAATGAGCTGGTCGCCTTCCATAGACATGTTTTTACAGTAGCCCAGAAGGGACAAACCAAACACTGGCTTTAGATAGGGAGGTTAGCATTTTTCAGCTCTCTTTCCAAACTAAAACTGTTTTCCCTCCAGAAAAGACTGATCTTTCCAAAGCAGTCTCTAGAGTGTGTAAATCTTAAAATGCTGGCTTGGTCTTTCAGTGTGTACGAGGTAAATGGAAGCCAGTGTGTGTTGGGGGCTGTGTGCCAGTAAAGTTAAGTTAGTTAGTTAGTTGCCTCTACTTTCTTTGTTGTTGTTCATTTCGAATGTCAATATAGCCGGCATGGTGCTAATCAAAACGTTTTGTGAATTCAGCTGTATTAAAAGACAGCAGGAGGAGGCTCAACAGTCGACACTTGGCAGAGTAGTGTCTTTACCAACAAAGAATACTACTGTCTGTAGTTTCAAACTTTTTCTGTGATCGCGTGTTTTAACCTTTGACGTAGCCAATCATACCGCACAACTGCTGTCATTAACCTGTATTTATGTCGATTTGGTCAGACGACACGTTTATAGAACAATGATTTGGTCTGTCCCACTTACCAGATATCGGCTGTGATGCAGTTTTGTTGTTTGCCAACAGTAGAGAGGACAAAGGAGAGGAGACTGAGCATTTGTTATGTTGCTCAGGTGTTTCTCTTTTGGCACAGGTCTCTACAAAAATTACCTGGAGGCGCGAGTGTGGACGCAAGTTGCTTTCACACAAAAACAGACCACAGAGATTTCCTTTTTACAAGTTCTGCCATTGTCAGTGTTCTCAAACTTAATCATTATATCAAAATCCTTTTGTTTGGAGTAATTAATTAAGTGTCATTCATAAACCAGTAACAGTCATCAACATGTTGGAGAGCAACTGTATAAATTACCAGTTTAGCATTCTTCACAGAGATTTTTACTTTCCCCAGATATTCTTCATTCCCAACTGCTAGTACTGCTCTATTTTGAATTTAAATATATGCCAGGTATTGCATTATTGATCTAACACAGTTGATTGTGTTACTATTGTCTAGTTATTTGTCCCTTAAATTCGATGGTTACTGCTCAGAAGAAAGCACATGGTTCTGGTAGCACATATTTGCTTACGATATGATTATTCTGTTGTGTCATAATTTTAATTAATAATAATAAGGTTTTATATTTTATATAGATTTTTTGTTTGCAATTATTCACGCAAACAAAGAAAGTAAGCCTATTAGGTTTTTTTAGACAAGCTCAGATATTACAGGGGTTTTTTGTAGGTAAAAAAGTGGATGTCGCATGCAAACACGACGCACATTGAGACAGATGTAGATGGATGGATTGGTGTGTAGATTTAAAGGAGGTCAGCATACAGAAATATGTATTTCATTTTATCTTCCTTGTCTTTTCCTCTGTCTCTCTGATAGCCTGTCACATATCACAAAGCTTTGTATCCATAGCAAGACCAAAGCATTCTGACAGTGCCTGCCATGGAAACTTCACAGAATAAGATAACTGTGGATAGGTATTTAGTCAAGCAATACTTCTTCTGAAGGCTGCTCCTGGCTGCTGACACATCAGGGATTATAGTGAATATTTCTTGACGGGTTTCTCTGTGCTAAATGTATTATTCTGTGAAAATACATCTGCCCATTTTTTTCTTTTTATTTGCCTCACTACATAACTTGCGTTGCTCCGTTGGCATTGTTTCAGGGTTAAGTAAAAGCTGTTGAAATATTGCATTCAATCATTCTGCCTGGCTGGAAGAAGAGTGTCATTTCCTAATTTGGATTTTTGTCATGTTTTAAGTGCATGCATTATTCATAAATCCTTCATAAATAGTTTCCATTCTGATAAGTGCAGCCGCCCTACTGTAAATACGGCCATGTCACCTCTAATGCATTTCCAATGGTGCGGCTGTGGTTTGAAAGTGGCTGCCACGTCTGCTGAGGATACAGTTTCTATTTTCCCTTCACTCAGAAGCGACTCGGCAGCCTCCCGTCTTTTTTACCCCCATTTCCCACTTTAGCTCATCATATTTCAGCAGCCACCGGAGGGGTGAGGCTACTGATTTTTACATCTGATAGCAAAGCCCCCATCGCTCATCCTCACTGCGCTCTCTGTCTCTCACTTCAGTGGCCTCCTAATTTAATTTTAGAGGAGAAGTAAGAGCGAGCAGAGCGTGAGTGCCGAGATATTAATACTGCTTCTCCTGGAAATGATAATGATAAATTGCTATTGCACTTTTGCTTTCCAATATTTGCTGAGAGAGAATCCCAGCGTGCACATGGTCATTTTGTTATAGCGCGATCAATGCATCGCATCAAACATGCTTCCTCATGGACTTTCTGGTCACTGAATTCACTTTAATTCTCATTTCCAGTTAGGTCACCATTATCTTACACTAAGAATCCACAGTCTTCCTGACAGAGTTATATACGCTGGTTTGTAGAAGTCCTTTTATCCCACCGTTCTGGGTAAAAACCTGTCATTTCAGCTTAGGTCTCTCTTAGGACACAAAGTCCCGAAGGGAGTTTCGCTGTCTAAATTAGGTATAAAAAGAATCCTTAACCCCGAGGTTTTTACTGCCACTTATTCTGGTCTAAATGAAGAGGGAAACACTAATCTTTAACCTTTGAGTCGTTCTGACGTTTCCCCGCCACACAGCAGAGGATGGTGTTGTCATATTCAGTCAGAAATTAGGCTACATCTGGTGTGGCTCACCCATTTTCACTGATACAAACTCAGCAGGTTGTTTTTTCAAATAAAAAAATGTACAGTAGTTCTGGGCCGAACTCTTCTTGTCAGAATAAAATACTTAAATGCTTATTTTCCAAAGAAAAACACATCACAAAACCAGTCTGAGGCAGATCTAGAGAAATATTTACAGGTAGCAAGAAATATAATGATGATTTAATCACAAACAATCACATATATGAATATTTGCTTGGCAAAGCTCCCAAATAAGAATATGTGAACTTACTGTGGCACATTAGTAAAGCATTGAATAGAAATATCTAAAGGTGAATGGTTTTCTTTCTAAATCAGATATTTGTGTCTTTTTTAAATTTAACTTAAGCCTTTCACTTAGTCTTAAATGTGATCATAGCTGATCATTTAATTAATATCTGTCTTTAATATTAATATCTATCTTTTTAATTCCTCTAAATTAATTCATTAAATCTAACAGCATTTGACAACAAACTGGGGCGGCCAGACATTTTTTAAGCCACCCATGTAGGTCCACCCCTGCAAACAATTACTAATTAACATAACATATCTAATCTAATACAATCCCTGCCCATACATGGTACCAACCAGACATCATCAGTGATGTGAAGGAAGTGTTTGGTCAAACCTGGGACAGTAAGTGTTTGTGGTTGTCCGCTAGAAGCTGTCATAAATTGACTTTTGATCCAGTTTTAAGCCACATTTTTACCCTTTTTAAATCTTGGTGATTTTTCACTCATATTTTAACCATATGAAGGACTTTAGTCATAAGACGTCTGGATCTTAAGTTATCAGAGGAACAAGCTGAGCCAACGTTAGCAGCAGCTCTGGGACATTGTCTGCCAAACAGCATCAGCAAAACACAGTTTTTTAAGGTGAAACCGCTTTATTCAATGTTTTACCAGTTTTAATCACTGGGTCCTTTTGTTTTGGAGAGGAGGCCACCTGTGTGGGTAATTCGGCTCCTGGTAGTAACAATGAACACTGAAGGAATCCTCACCGGGAGAAGCTGAGTGCAGTGGTGGTGAAAACAACTCTCACGATCCCACACTACTTCACTACACTTTTGTTATTGTTTTGATGTGAGAGAGACCCCTTAGTGGCAGAAATTACATATTGTACTTCTAACATTATTTTTTATAATTACCACAATCAGGGCTCACAAAGCTGACCACTGACTGATGCAAACATACCATGCACATCTCTGCGAGTTAAAGACAACTGATAGTAGAGCAAGAAAAAATTGCTAAGAAACTAAAGGCAGAGTTGTAGTACAAAGAGGCAAATTGTAAACATGAAAGTTTTCACGTTCTGTTTGAAACTGTGGATGCTCCAAGCTTATAGAGAGGTGTAATGTATTAGGTCTCAAATGCTGCATTATTTTTTCTGATCCTTCATCTGGTATTATGAAAACAGCTTCAAAGTTGTGTAGGCACAAAGCTACTATACACACACACAACAGTCCTGAAATTGTTTTAACATCAAGAGGATTTCACTCTGTACGAGTATGGTGAGGTTTTTATTTCATGTGGGCCTGTGCTACTTCATGTTCGTATGTGGACACTGTGTATAATCAGAACTCTTTGGTTGAAAGGGTTCATGAATAGTAAGCAGCTGGCTCAGATGTCCACTAAACCTGTTTAAGACACTCAGTGCCAGACGCCTGACAGAAACTTTCACTTCACCCACTGTAAATTCAAATACCTATATGCAGTTAATAAAGTGAGCCAAACCTTCATTAAAAAGTTTAATGGAGGTCTTTAATATTTAAATAGAAAAGTTTGCTGCCAGAAATCTCACTGACTGCATGTGGTTATCAGCCGCACTTTGTTCACTCTAATAATTATTATTATTATTATTACAATTATAATATTGTAATTATTATAAAGTGATAGATATAAAATATTTTATCAAAAACATAAGATCCAGACTGAAATGTGTTACCGCACAATTTACTTTACATTTACTTTTCTTCACAGAAGTGAATCAAATGGTGAAATATAGGCCTTTGTTTTTAAGTTTTCTAGAACGCATTAAAATTAAGAAGGCCATGCAACTGCCTATGAAGCTTTGGTGACCCCTAGTAGAGGCCCCGACCCCCCAGTGAAATACCTCAACAATCCACCCAATGAATTGGCCCCAATTTTTTCTGCAGTCACTCATGGTTCCTAGACAATGATGTCATGGTTTTATTTTGAAATACTCACCTCTCCTCTCATGTCAGTTACTTCACTTCCTGGCTTTGTGTGTTTGCCGCCAGTTTTGATTGTCTGCCCCGCTCTGATCAGCTTCTCCTGTGTCTTCTTATCCTCCCCTCACCAGTGTATTTAGTCTTTGAGTTTGTCAGAATATTGTTCATGTCATTCTTTCAAGCCTGTTACCTTGCATCAGGTTTCTAGAGTTTGTACCTGAACTTTTTAGATTTAATGATTGATCTGCCCCAGCTCTACCTCCATTGTTGGCATTTGGGTCCGATGCTTGTTGTCCTGTGCACACCAGTTTTGACAAATGTATCCTCAATGGCTTTGGTGATCGTGTCATATTTCCTCTGTCACCACAATGAGGTTGACAGGTTGTGGTTCTGAGGGAAATCTCTTGACTAACTACTGGATGGATTGTGAAGACATTCAACACTGTACACACATTCATGCTACCCTCAGGATGAACTATAATAACTTCAGTTTTTCATCTAGTGCCATCATCAGTTCAGAGTTTCAGTTTGACTAGTTTTGCAGGTTTTTCGTCTCAAAAGAAAGTTAGGGGCCAGCCAATATACCTGAAAAGCTCATGACCTTCCCATCAGCCTCAGCTGTACTTTGTGTTTAATGCCAGTTCTCAAATGTTAGCATGCTAACACCCCAAACTAAGATGGTGAATATCAATCACTCAATCAAACTTTATTTGTATAGCACATTTCATTCAGTTTAGTGTTGCTTGGAGTGCTTCACAGACAATAACATGGTACATTATGCTTAAACGGCAGCATTTTAGCACTCTCATTATGAGCGTGTTAGCAAGCTGATGTAGCATTTAGCTCAAAGCACCACTATGCCTAAGTACAGCCTCAAAAAGCCAATCACTGGCTGTAGACTCTTGTTAAAACACAGTTATATAGGCTATATTCTTATGAGCTGATAATGATGTTTCTAACGATAATGACTCAGAATAGATGGCTGAAATAAAAATGCAAATCCATCGGTTGCCATCACATTAGCATTACAAATTCTCCCACTCCTACCTCATCCCAAAAATCATAAAATAATCTCCCCCACATCAACTGCATGAATGTTTTTTTTGTCTGACAACCTTCATCATTTAAACGTACACATTTTAGGCTTCACAGTTTTCATATTTAAAGTAAACTAATATTAATGTAGCAGGCCAGTAAAATGATGAGAAACTGAAGTTGAGAATATGTACACGTCTCAATGCTTTTATACCATTCCCATCAGTGTACAGCTGTGACATACAGACAGGATGCACATGCATGCATATAGCAATATACTGCACAGCTATTCCATGGATGCAATTCTTATTCTGTGGTGTAGAGCAGTAGAGGGGATTTCTTTTAGTTGGTACCAAGGCAGCATCTGTATTTATCTGTGATCCATGCAAAGCCGGTGAGACTCTATAGCTTTGTGTGCCTTACGGGTGAGACAAATCAAAAACACCTACCTCTTGAAAAGATGCATTTTCAGAGTGTATCAGAAGATAGGAAGTAGCTGAGCAAGCAAAACATATTCCTGCATTTTCCCTCTAACCCCATACCCCCTTTTACTTTTTTTTTTTGTTTCTCTTTCTGTTTTTTTGTTTTAAGTGAAAGCACTCACCTCAACTGTGTTTTTCCCAGCCTTCAGCTCGGCCATCCATTCTCTGGACGGGGCGACGCAGCGGAGCGACTTTGTCTCCATCCTGAGGGAGTTTGGGAACCACTACGTGCAGGAGGCGGTGTACGGCTTCCAGGAGTCCTGTACCATCTGGTACCCCAACAAACAAGTCCAGAGACAGCTGTGGCTGGAGTACCAGGACATTAGCAAAGGTAGGACACACACTCACACCTAGTGAGTGCATCTTTTAAAGTATTCTAGTTACAAATGGATAACATTAACAGTAATTATTGGCCTAAGATAAAAGGCTAGGTTTCATTCCCGCAGTTATTTATATATTCATTGATTGCACAGATTCATAATCTGTCACCCCCACAAAATACATAGAGGCTCATAATGCTGTGCGTGTGTGTGTTTTGGGGGCGACTGGATTATTGTGTTACAGATTTAAAATTGGCAGGACTCTTACTTACATACTTCAGTAAATGCTTGCCAGGAGAAATACTAAAACCTCGCTCTTCTCTTTTCCCCTTATTTTTCTTTTCTCTTTTCGGTTGTACCCTGTTGAAGAGAAATTTTATGTGCTCCCAGGGTGGCAGTCTTTCACAAATGCTCTTGAGGCCCCTTTTTCAACCATCAGTTCTGCACTCTGTGGAAGTACCTCTTGTAGATTGTTTTGGTAGATCTTGGTGTTTAGGTTGTAGTTTGGGCACCATAAACCATGCAAACAAACACAATCCAGCACTTGTCATTGCTACAGCTGGGTATTTAACCTCAATACTTTTTAGTATTGTGGAAATGTGTCCGTAAATGACTGAATGCTGGTGTTGGATGTCTGGTCAGACTCCAAATCCTTTCTTTTAGATGCTATTTTGTTTCCTCGATCATATTGTGCTTCAGACTTTGTTACTATACTCTAGATGTCACTAGGTAAAACACTTTTTTTTTTCCATGACAAACCCCATGCCCACCCTCACCCACACAGCACACCTACAAATGTACCTGCAAATAAAATAGATGGAATAAAAAGTCAGTAGTTTTTACAGACTTTCTGTGTAGATCAGTATTTCATTTAAAGTAAAGAACCAAAAAAGGTTTAGTATCATATCGGTCAAATGTATTTCTTTCGCTTCAAATGTGGTGAAACTATTATACAAAAAAAAATAAATATATATATATATATATATAAATAAATAAATAAATAAATATATATATATCAATTTTTGAGGCACCGTTGGCCCACTCTCTAAGCAACTGCACCCCCTTAGGGAGCCACTGATTTAGTCAAACTTCAGATACAGCTGCTTCTGTTAAATGGTTATTCTGGGATTTTTAAACCTAGGCCCTATTTTAAAATTTTTTGGGGTCTATTTCAGGGTACAAAGGGTTGTTATTGGTCCAGTACAAAGTGACAGGCCCAGATTGTTGTTCTGGTTGATGACATTATGTGAAGGATCCCTACAGAGACAGACCTTTTTGTTAAAGATTAAGATTATTTTTGTTTAACCAGAAAAAGCTGTTTTGGTCTTTTCAAAGCTACCAGACTCCATCGACAAAAAAATGTATTATGCCTCTTACTGGAGTTTCTGGTCTTGTGCTGCCCCGATCAGTTAATTTGTTCAAGTTGTGGTGTTAGTTTGGATCCGAACTAACCATTCCTTTGCAGGCTGAGGCGATCTACTAAACCAATTCCAAAACTCTTTGTTTCTCGAACCCAAAATGCTGGAATTACTCTGTAACATTTAACTTTGGCTTCCTTTGTTAAATGAAAATTAAAAAAGTTTTGCAGAAATGAGTTTGTGCTTTTTTAAGTTAGGGTCGTAAAAAGTTTTTTTGATATCCAAACCAAAACTGAGTTATTTGTACTGCTGCTAGTATGAATAACTTCAGCAGCCCTTCTCACCAGTGGATCATTTTAAATAGGTTGAAACTGGTACATTCTGGGACATTATTCTTCATCACAGTTGTGAATACAGCTGCACTAATAGGTCTTAATTAACATACTTTTAATAGCCAGATAGATGATACTTGTTCAATGACCTGCTTCCAAGTAAAGGTTGCTGTAAACACTCGTGCAGCAGCAGTTCTGGTAAATGTAATTTAGTCCGATTCATCCATGTAAAAAACAGCTTCATGTTTTCTTCAGTTACTTCATTAGAAAGATCAAATTGTGTTGGCATGTTGCACCTTGGCTACACTATGTGGGCTCTATCTTGCACTCAGCGCAATTGACTTTGTACACTGGCGGTTGTATAATTCCTATTTTGCACTCGACGCACATTGGGATTTTCCCTCCACTGACGCACGTCCTTAAATTAGGGATTGAACTTGCGCTCCGGGGGGAGGTTCAGCGAAAAGAGGAGGCGTGTTCTGGCACAAACGTTCCCTGGTGCTATTTTGCTGTTTCAGAAAACAATTCCGCCACAGACCAGGAAAAACCTAGTCTAAAGTCAGTGGCGCTTATTCAGATGCTATTTTAAGGGCGCAGACTTGAGGGGATGTGCCTGAGAGGCAGCAGCAACATCGCTACCCGGTCAAGACGGGCATTAATACTTTGCCACATCCCGGACAGCTCCCGCTCCAGCATGTCTAACCCGGTTTGCTGTAGGAACGGGTGGTCCTCCGGCATGTGGTGGGTCTGGATCCTCTGCACCTTGGTGTTTGCGCTGCTCCCTCCTCAGCTGGCCCTTGCGCACTGCTCGGCCCGTCCGCACTGCTCCCGAGGCCAGGGTCTTCTTCCTGCAAGCTGCGTTACATTGTTTTGATTTATTGTATGGCTGTGTTACATTTATTTCATGTCAAAAATGTCACTTCTCTGTATTTTACGGCCCTGACGAGAACGTCGGTCTCCTCGGCTGTGAACCGTTCCTGGCGTGCGCCTGGCAAATCCGCCGTTATAATCGCAATCCGCCATTGAACAAGCGCGCCTGCTTTTAAAGGGAATGTGAGATGACTCTGATTGGTTTATTGCATGTTACGCCCAAACCACACCTATGACTAATGTAGCTACTTCAGACCAACCCATTTTAGATTTGCGCCGGGTGCAAGAGTCATTTATCCCGCCGGCATAATAGCAACAGCGCCCGAGACCCACCCACAAAGATACTTGCATTTTGCGTTTGATACTTGCGTTTCAGAACGTTAAGTTAGGGCCCTATGTGTGTGTGTGTGTGAGACACATTACAAACAATAAAATGGCACAGTGCTTTTACCTTCTGACAGTGTGAGTCAAAGATAACGTGGCATTGCACTATAATAAGCATTGGTCTATCTCAACCAATTAGAGTGAACTACACAAGCACCCTCCAGAAGCACATGTACTTAAATGACCAATCAAAGTAGTAAAATGTCTTTCCTTTTTGCTTTGTTTCTCAAAATGTCAGCCATCCATCTTTTCGTCACCTGTTCTTGTTTTCTCAGTAAGTTGCAGCAGAGAGAAGTAATAGTCCATCTCTCCCCGCCATTTCACCTCAATGGCTCCAAACTGTCCGCGCTCATTTCCTTTGTTTGCCTCGGCCACTTTTCTTCCCTCCCCTTACTTTGTCCAAGGACACCCCTGCTGTGCTGCGCCATTCACTCCCAGTTACCTCTGTGCTGACAGATGGCATTAGATGACTGAGTTTTCCCACCCTCATGAAAAGTGCATTACTCTTCATTTTCAGGCGCCTCTGACACGCTGCTTGCAGACGCTGCTAAACGATCCACCACAATCAAAGAAATGCCACGCTCCTCCGTTTCAGTTTCTTCTACATAAACTGGGACTCTTGAGTTTTTTCCCCCCAATTCATGCCGCATCAAGGCAGTTAAAGGCTTTGTTTGGACCGGTGTCAGTGCACTTTTCAACAAGTTTTTAGCAGTCTTCGAGCTCATATGTTAGTATTATTGGACATTAGCAGATTTGTACATGATAATCATGATCTCTATCCAGTACCACTTTATTTTACATGTCCTATAAATTCATATTATTTCCTGGGAAGGAAGTTGTAACTAATGCTAAAGAAAATAGTATATAGGTTTACTTCCAATTAATTCCAGTTAATTGCTACTATAACTTATATGTGTGCATCGAAATATTCTCAACTAACTAAATTTGAATAAATGCTCAGAAATTTGCCTCTGTTGTTCCTACAGTTACTTTAAATTACATTTGTTTTTTCCACAGATATTTCTGGGAAATTATAAAACTATGAAATTATAAAAGAAAGCATTGGCAAATTCCCATCACAAATGAACAAAACTTTGTCAGTGTAAATGTACTTACTGTATAGTTATTGTAGTAGTATAGTTGCACTGCTGGATTTGTAAAATGCAACAACACAATACTGCTACTGCTGTTCATAGTAAGAGTCATTTTCATTATAATTTGTATTTATTTACAGCTGCTTGTACTGTTTCATTACTTTTCACATTGTTAATATAGGAAGCTTATTTTACTTCAGCCATACATTCCTGTTGTTATCAGTCCCCATGTTGAAGTAACAATAAAAGCATGGCATTTGGTCCATGTGGGACTGAAAATCGGATTGTCTGAACTGGTGCAAAATCTATCCTGAATCTATTCTTCCTGTCAGATGGAGCGCGGTGATTACGTTGGGCTGTGAGGGTCTGAAATGATTCAATCTACGCGGGTAACTGTTTCAACCTGGCCCGGGACCATCCGTTTCTAGGAAAAGAAATAGATTCCATTGGCAAAAACTTGAAATCAGAGTCATCTTTCTTAATCTCTTCCTGGCTTCTTGGAAACATCCTGGCCTTTCGGAGGGAGTAATGAGCTCACAGGAGAGTTTGATGATCCATGTCCTCGCCCTTTGCTCCAAATACAAGATGTGCCCAACTGCAGCCTCCCTCCATATTCAGTGAGAAGCCAGGCAGATCATTTTCTGCATCTTAGCCGCTTGGGGCACAGCTGCTACCAGCAGTTTTAAGGCTTATTTATGTATATGGTTAATAATCATATATCAAATGGAAACAGATTTAAAGGAAAAATAGCTACTATATGTGGGTCTCCTGTTGCAGAAAACAGAAGTCTGTTGCATTTACTTCATTTGAGTCACTGTAGCAGCTCAATGCTCTTCATCTGTATGAATTGCAGATATCTGTTTTACACAATTTAATACTAAATCAAAAACTGTGTGGACTGCTCGGAAAAACAGCAAACACTTTTGTGAATTCTCATAAAAACAAAATGACACTGTTACCTAAAACAACTGCT